CTTATTACCAGCACTTATATTGCTGGCAAGACTACCATCCTGTGGTTGTGTGAGTGTGCACAGTGGGGCACGAAGCGCGTGTGGGGGACGCGAGGAAGGGGGGGGCATGGGAGGTGTGTGCTTGGACTTTGCGTTCGTGTGACTCACATCACGCGTCGTGACGTCGGAAGAGTGCTTCTGCTGGGGTGCCTCGTTTTTCATCCACAGCCCACCCGTCTACGTCAACCTTTACGCCGTCCAAGATACATGAGGGTAGGGGTTAAAGGACACAGCGTGCGGACCATGCAGGTTGATCATGATTTACCTCTTTTTTAGGAATGTTGGCTCCATCCGCAGCACCGGCTCCCGCCCTTGTTGCTTTCTTTCCTCTATCATCTTCCGAAGAGTCCTTGATGGCGTGGAGCAATACTTCCATCTCCACTGCTACCTATGACAGAAAGTAACAATTGTCAAGACGATGAAATGACGGCGACGGCGTCGATGTGAGCAATGTGGCGCGTGCTTGGCCGCAGGGATTAAGGAAGGGCGAGGCTTGCACTTTGGGGCCTTGGCGGGGCGCGTTCCATCATATGTATCATGCCGCGCAAAACCAGGGCGCAACCATTCACGTCCTGCGGGCCTATGCGCCACGGGGGAAAGTCGTTATTCATCGCCCAACCTTCGTTGGAATGACGAAGTTGGGAGGAGCTCTTATTGAAGGACGACAGGCTCTTGTTCAATTTGTCAACATTGTGAGGCCTATGCATGCAGTCGAGGGACACATGGGCCACTCGTGGCAGTGAAATTTAGAGCGCTGGGTATCCTCACGCAAAGAGTAAGTAAAGAAAAAAATATGTTTACGCACGACAAAACATGACATGACCACAAGTTTTATGTGAAGGCAACGTAAGTGGCTTCTTACAGGCAAAGTGAGTCTGTTTGTGTTGGGTTTTGCCCGGTAAAGCATCCAGTAGGATCACAGTGATTCAACATATGAAGCGTATCTTTACCAAAAATGCGCGGTCAACCAAGTCTTTCCAAGACGAATTGGAACAGCGATGAACGACGAAGCTCAGAGACGTCACGGCACAGCGCTTGCATCATTGCTCCATAGATGCATGGTAGCATTTCGCAGTCGATCATTTTACTTCCCCTCCGGACCAAAGGCTCATTACTTTGGCTGTAGAATTTTACTGGTTCCATTCCGTAACCTCTACATGATGTGCACAAAATGCCCCAAAATGCCAGCTCGTCGATCGTATCATGCATACCTTTGAGTGCCTCTGTGAGCGAGGGAAGTCCGCGTTGTCGTATTGCCTATATTCCTGATCACGCACGCATTCCGTGCCTACATGCATCTGTGTCCCACCAACTTTTGGTCGTACAGCCACAACCTTCACGACTTTCACATACTCCAATGCTAAGTCGATCTCTTTTTGTATCACTCCTTGATTCAGGTCTCCTCAGGCATATGCTCCCGAGCAGTTTATATGCATATTTACACACGCAGCATGTTGCTTTCACGGCATTTCACCCTAGTCCAGTGCAATGTCTATCAGTGTCGCTTTCCATGAACCTGTCATTTGTCTTCCGCTTTTGCACTCGAAACCATGTCACGAAGGGGCGAACGGCATACCTTAAACCACAACGTACCCGTCCTGTACCTATACCCCTCTTCCTTTTTTTCGCATGTGGGCACTGCGATTTTCTTCATCCGCAGGTCACATCCAAGTAGTTCAGCGCCTCCAGGAACACATCGTCACTCGCCCTGGTCACTAACGCCCTCAACACCCCTTTCTCCCTCCCTTCCTCGGTCCTTCCCTCCGTCTCCTCCTCCCTCATCTTCCTCTGTCTCTCCTCCTGCCACCGGAGGCGGAGAAGAGTGGCCCGATATGCAGAGCTTCCCCCCAAAACCATGGTCGCCATTCGACTTATAGACCGACTCCTCCGGTTCAGCCGGATCGTCGGAATTCCTTCCGCGCATTTTCCAGCGTGTTTCTGCATGTACGCCGTTAAGAATGTTACTGTGCTTTCCCCTTTATCATTTTTCAATGTAGGATCCGCGCCGCTCCTCAACAGCAATTCCACCACTTCCGGGCTTTGACCCTCCG